CAATTTCAAGTTTTGTGGGTTTTTTTTTCTTTTCTTCTTTCAGCAATTCTCTTGCCCTTTGCCTCCCAAGTAGCTGGGACTACAAGCACCCGTCACAATGCCCAATTTTTTTTTTGGGTAGAGATGGGGGGTCTCACTATGGCTCACTCCAATTCATGCTGGTCTCGAACCTATGAACTCAGGCAATCCACTTACCTCAGCCTCTCACGATGCTAGAACTACAGGCGTGGGCCACCACACCCAGCCTATATAAGTGATTTTTTAAACCACTTTTTTAAAAAAAGAGAAAAACAAAACAGGAAGTAACTTGCAATGAACATAAAGCTATATAAAGAGTAAAAGATGTTCTAAAGTTAAAAAAATTAATTTAAAAAATCAGTATATCAAACAACAAATGGAAAAATGATACATGAAATATTATCAAGATAAATTTTCGTTCAGCCATCTATTCTTTTCCTAAGCAATATGACACAACCAAAAACACATTTTATTTACATATCTAATGGCTCAAAGTTTTTAAGACAGCCAATGCATTAGCTTAGCTCATTTATCAAAAATATTTTACTCAAATGCTTTCTCCTTTAAAACCCAAATATCTACTGTCTTCCATGCTATTATCTATCTTGCTGTCATGATCCCATTCATTTAGGACTTCGGACTCAGGATCTTCCATAATATTCTAACTCCTGTCCTCAACTTGGAGGTCTTAGTATCTTTCACCAACATTCTAATTTCAAACTAATTTATGTTCTTTAACTCAAGTGACTTTCAATCCACTTCTATTCCTCTACTTACATAAACATGACCCCATATGAAAATTTGTCCTAACTTCCAGCTGCATGTGGTTCTTTCTCCACCCTCTTGAAGCTCCACTAAAGACAAAGGTGTATGTCCAAGAAAAAACCAAGAGAAAAGGAAATAATAAATACAATCTTTCATTCTCACTTGGAGAGAGAAAAGGGAATTTTACATCCAAAGTTCTACTAGAGGAATATATTGGTAAGAAGTCAATCTCGTCACCCTGGACAGCATTCCAAAGTCCCAGGAATTGGAAGGTATAAGTAAGAAACCACATAAGTAAAGGTGAAACATGGCTTTAAAAAAAAAAAAAAAAAACATAAATATTTAAAGAGAATGAGACAACCCTGCCAGATTCATTTCTAGACTTTGTGTAACCAGGCAGTTAATTCCAACCTCAATGAGTAAATCAAAGAATGAACAGGAAATAAAGCAAATGAAGACACTAGGCAAAAGTTCAGGAAAAGCTAAATTTAAAGAGAAAAAGAAATTATTCATTATACTACTTGCCTCAAAAGTAAATAGTCACAGGTATATATAAATATTATAATACCATTAATTTATCTACTAACTAACTATAATCTACTATAGTTAGGCAGGCTGGGAGAAAAGAGAGTCTAGAAAAAAATTAAAAGAAGACCAGCAGATAAATTATTGACACTGACACCCAAAAACAGCAATAGCATTACAGTCCTTACAAACCTGAAAATGAATGCCAACCAAGAGCAATGGTCAAGTAAGAGCTACTGGTTCCTCTGAAAACACAAAGACAACAGAGGGTAAAGAGGAGCTACCAATTTTATTTCAAGCTTGTCAGTGTTATCTGACCTTTAAAATTATGTGTGTCTACACTTTCATTTTTATTTTTTAAAAAATGGTAAAGACAGGGCTAGATGCAGTGCCTCACACCTGTAATCCTAGCACTCTGGGAGGCTGAGACAGGCCAACTACTTGAGATCAGGAGCTGAAGACCAGCCTGAGCCAAAGAAAGATCCCATCTCTACTAATAACAGAAAAATTAGCCAGGCCTTGTGGTAGGCACCTATAGTCCCAGCTATTTGGGAGACTGAGGCAAAAAGGCCACTAACTAAAGCCATGATGCCTTAGCACTCAAGCCAGGAGAAAAGAGTGAGATTCTGTCTCAAAAAAATAAAATTTTTTTTTTTTGCAAAGACAATGTGCCATCTATAACCTTAAAACTCCAGTATACTACTTGTGTGACCACAATTTCTGCAACCAATTTATAATTACAGTAGAACCTCTGTAAGTTGACCACTGAGGAATTGTAACAAACCGGTCAACATGCAGAGGTGGTCCCCAAAAGGAACTAGGCTTATTGTACTGATAACATAGTTACATGTGGCGCACATCCAGTCAGGGAAAATGAGGTCAACTTAAGGAGCTGGTCTACTATATATATGCCAACTTATCATGATCTCCAATCCCTGACTGCATCCCTCCCTCCCTCACTATTGCTAAGTAATGTGGCCTTCTAGATTTATTCTCTCTTCTATGCTGTAATACTAACCTCTGCCTATCACCTCTCACTGATAAACAATCTGCCTCTAACACACCATTCCACTGCAATTGCTCCCCGAGGATCACCAATAACCTGGATATTGAAAAACCCACAAGCATTTCTCAGGTGTCTCTAATGTTACTTCACTGCAGCAACTGGCACTTTTTAATCTCCTTCCTTCAAACATTCATTTCTCGCAATTTTATGACCATGACTTGGACTTGGCTTCTGCCTCTCTGTAATCTTCAGTATTCTTCACAGGTCCCTCTTACTCTACCTGACCATAAAGTGTTCGTGTTCACTAGGGCCCTATTCTTTACCTTCTTTCCACTCCAGAGTCTCCCCCAGGCTAAGCGCTTCTTCCCCTGCCCCAGCAACAGAGATGACTTCACGTCTACTTCACTCCAGGATACCCACCCCAGTTCAAACCCAAGTGGTTTTGAACCTTTTTAAAGATGCATATAATAAACTCATCTGTTTCTAACTTACCACTCCTCCCCTTCAGTATTCCTACTTTCCGTGGAAACTAGCACACCTAGTTGTTAAAGTTACAAACCTGGGAACTACCAGAGATTCTTCATTTTTATATTCCCCTCACATCTAAGCAATTACTAAGTCATGATGACTCTTTCTCTCTTACTGCCTTTCTCATTCTCATTTTCCTATAGAACAGCCATTACTCATCTTTCATATGAAAAACCGCCATAATAAACCCATCTGTTTCCAACACTATTCACAACTTTCTTCCAATCCATCCAACCCAGTGCTGTCAGAGTAACCTTTCTAATACTGTACATGAACCTGTGTCACTAATGCCACAGCACTCTAGCCTGCTCAACAAAGTGAGAAGCTGTCTCAAAAAAAAAAAAAAAAAAAAAAAAAGTTGAAAATTTCTTCCTAACTACAGAATCCAGTAAACAGCCCTTGTATTAGGTCCCTAAGACCTAGTCCATGAATACCTACTCTGTTCTTTATACTTTTATTATCTAGCCCGCTCACGTCTAAGACCTCTGCCAGAAACATACTTCCTCAACATACTTGACTGATCAATACCCTTTTATCGTTAAAAGTTTAATTACAATCTCCTCCGAGATGTTTCCCTGGTTCTTTCAAGCAGACGTCGGTACTCTCTGTTCATATGTCCTCACTAGACACATGTATTCCTTAAAGCAAAGGTCCCTGATGGAAAACAATTTCCCCACCGTCAGGTAGAGGGGAGGGGATGATTTCAGGAAGACTTGAACATGTATTGTGCACTTTATTACCACACTGTTACATTACATTACATTATTTTATTATTACATTTTTATAAGGAAAATACAACCTATATCCCTCCTATGCACAGTTTATAGTAGGGTTCGCACTCCAAAGATGCCACCAGTGATATGACAGGAGGTAGCCTTGCTCAGAAGTGATGAAAGAGATGGGGAGCAGCTGTAAAAATAGATTTAAGTTTTACATGCTCACCTGCCACTCACCTTCTGCTGTCCATACCCCAGAGGCTGGGGACTACAGCATTAAAAGACTACACCTATTTAAATACCATCTCTTTGGCTCAGCACCTGTAGCTAGAGGGTAGGGTGCCAGCCACATACACCGGAGCTGGAGGGTTGAATCCAGCCCGGGCCTGCCAAACAACAACAACAACCAAAAAATAACCAGGCATTGTGGTAGGCACTTTTAGTCACAGCTACTGAGGAGGCCGAAGCTGGAGGATCCCCTGAAGCCAGGAGTTTGAGGTTGCTATGAACTAGGCTGATGCCACAGCACTCTAGCCTGCTCAACAAAGTGAGAATTTGTCTTAAAAACAACAACAACAACAACAAAAACTCTTAATGATGAAGAGGCGAAGTTAGGTATTTAATATTAGTAATTCTATTAATAAAGTTAAAATTCTGATAAAAAGTTACTAGAATTTTTCATTAATAAAAGCATATAACTTCATTAATTTAATACAGCACTTACAGTGCTAAAATTTTACAGAGACAAAAACTACTTTGCTACTAAACATTTTTGATAGTCCAGTGAAGGTTTTTGGCATAATGGTCATTTTAGTATTTATTTACTTATTTATAGATTTTATAAGACAGAGTCTCACTCTA